CCATATCTTTATCCTTTTTCTACTTATAAAATATCGAAAAAATTAATTAATTTAATAATATAGCATCGTGACTATTCTATTTTTAGTTGTTATTTTAAGGATTTTAATTGACTCAGCTTACAAAATTTCATAATTTTAACCGATAAAATTACTCTCGAGTTTTATTTGACTAAATATTGCAAATAGTGTCCTCAATAAAAAAAAAGTTATTGCAAAGAGTATAAATTAACTTTTTCCTTAAAAATTAATATATTCAAACAACTTTTAACTATACGTGTGAAAACAAATATTTAATTCTCAAATGTTGAATGTATTCCCATGAAATAAAGAGGAGCAAGAGAATAATGTCCAAACCTTAATTGAAACAACTTTTTGAAAATTGGCAAAAAAAAAAAAAAAAAAAAATTGCATMATTTTTCACAAGTCTTAATGTGAAAACTCCAAATGTAATTTATATTTTATAATAGTATAAAGTCACACCTTATTGAGGTTTGAAACAAAAACATGTCTGGTGTTCAAATGTTTTGACTTTTACAGTCAATTTCCAATCATTCCCACCCAGCTCACTAGTCGAGCTAGTATTTGTCCAAACCGAACTTCGCGAACTTGGTCGGAATCTTGATCAAATAATTTATATTTACTAAAATATATATCTTCGATTGATTTATCTAAAATTAATATCTAGAGTCGAAATCTTCCATGAATGTATAATTAAAAAAGTATGCAACTATATCCTTAATTTGTCTTTGTCGAGTATTTGACTTGAAACTTCTTTCTTTGATTTTTTTTTTCTAGTGTTTGTACAATGAATTCGGTCGAGGTCGAACCTAATCAAATTAGGCTGACAAGAAATAGCTTGAGTGTTATTGGGCTAGGAAAGACCTGCACAAAGAGGTAAACACTTTGACGCTCAAATCAGTTTAAGTCCAACTCTAGTATGAAGATTGAACTAGAATGTGATATATGATGCAGAAGTGAGACCCTTTATTTATAGGTTGGAGATTTAACAGACTACCCGATCATAAGAGGTTATTGATGTTGCCCCGGAGGTCGGGTTTGTCGGGCGCCTGAGGTCGAGCCTTGGTCATACCTTTCATTGAGGAGGGTATCTCCATAGCATTTGCGGCTAAGTATAGAAGTGTCGATCCCACGTTAGGAGGTCTTCAAGTAAGACCTGATCGTCCGACCTTCCTCCGTGAAAAGATTATTTTTCTACTTCAATAATGGGAATGAGACACATAAATATCACATCAACTAGGTTGAAGGAAAAGATCATTAATATATTAGTAGAAGATAAAATCTTATTGAAACACGAGATGAGAAAGAAGTGAATTTTTGTGGCATTCAATTTAAAAACTCATTAATTTATGTTATAGAAATGTTCTTCTTTCTTTACTTTGTATTGCTTTTATTATATTTGATGTTTGATATGCTTGCATTTAGTGGTAATGTGTTTGGTTTCTTGTTTTGCTCACCTTGATTTTAGTCTATGAGACTTGTGACTACTTGTCTTTTTTTGAACTTTTTTCTTTGTCTCCATTTCCTTTCCCCTTTAATAATACACTAAAATTGGCTGTTGGATAGATGATACTGATGGGTGTTGTGCCAAAATAATTGAGATGTTTTAGTGGGCACTTATGAACCTCTTTTACCAATAATTTGAGGAGGAAAAAACCATACAATCTTATGTTTTACTCGTTGGAATGGAGCTAAACATGGTGCATTGCAATGATAAGCATGGTATAAAGATAATATAAAAAATATCAGAAATATCTACTATGTACATATCATACATGCACTGCAAAAATAAAACAAATACAAACGTTTACAAATTATAGAATATTGGAAACAGAGTACAAGAGAGAAAATTTTCAGAAGTGAGACACGCACGAATTAGATTTGACAAATTTTACTTACTACGCATAGGTACTACACTCTAACATATAATTGTATTCTAAGATAAAACACTGTACTAATCTCGACATGAGAATTATTCGTGAACAAAACTCTTCTAGATCATAGGGAATGAGAGTTTTTGCAGAGGAATGTTTTTTTTTCCTTCTTTTTCTTGAGTGTAAAATGAGGTGTCTTTTTGTGAATAGATGTCTACATTGGTTTAAATGCATTTTATCATTCAAGTGTCTCTCTTTTGTGAATGGATGTGTTTGTTATAAACAAACTTGTAACTATTCGATGATGATGTTTCACATATCTAAAGTCTACGTCACATTCTTACACGAAGGAGACGCTGAATTAACTATTTTAAATGGATAACTCGTCTTTCAACTCACATTGCTTTGACTAATCGCAGTACGTCAGCATCAAATTGAGTTGTCAGACCTGTCCACAAGCCCTTTTGAAAAGTTTTGTTTTTTAATATAATATGTAAGGGTGAAGATTCAAATCCACGACCTTTTGATTGAAGATATATATATTAATTAATTGATCCTATGCTTAGGTTGGCCGTTTTTCTGAAACGTAGATGAGAGTTAGATTTCTAACTTAAGCAATGTAGGACATCCCATTTTTCTTCCATAAGTAGTATACTTATCACTTTAGGTACTTTTTTTAATCAAAAATTAGAGGTGGAAATTTGTACTCATAACCTAAAAAATAAGTACCTTGACCTGTTGATCTCGGCTCAAGTTGGCCACTTTAGGTATAGATTACGTCTCATTAAATGTATCCAAAAACATCGGTCGCTGCATTGGCCTTACGGTAATAGAGCTGAGAAGTATTAAAACGCTCCATATTTCATGACTGTTGAGGATAACGGCACCCCAAATATCCTGAGTATCCTTCACGGCTTTGCTTGATTTCACCCAAAAGGTTTCATACAAGATAATTGTCCTATCTATATAGCATGATCATGCTCTCTCTTTTCTAATTAATTTAGGACTTTGTTTGTATTTCCTTTACAAACCCAACAGTGACACATGGAGCATAGTCTTTTCCCAACATACCTAAATCTAAAACCAATTCTTCTTCTTTTCAAAATAAAATAAAAACCAATTCTTCTTCATATTGGAGATGTGCTCATCACCAATTGAGTGATGAATGCTTATTCTAATAAAACAAATGAGTTGTGAATTTTATTTTTGGCTAAATTATAATTTAGAAAAAAAACTTTCATGTTTGCGTTAAATAGGTTCTTCGGCTTTAAAAATATTTAATGTATTTAAATTTTTTATTCTGTGTATATAGCCTAATAGATCGATGACTAACTTGACAGTTTTTAAATTAACGTATTTATTAAACATAAAACAAACTTAATTTTATATCTAAGAAATCATAAACTTTCATTTTTGTATATAATAGATTTAGAATTTTTTTTAAATGTAGAATAGGTCAAGGCGAACTATTATAATGCAAAGTTGAAAATGCAAGTACCCATTAGATACAAGATTAGTTTAGAGTTGTTTGATAACTATTTCGTCCTTAGTTTTCTGTTTTTAAAATTGCACAACTTCATTAGTAAGTCTTTTCACCCCTCTTAAAAGCATATTTGAATTTTTAGCCACATTTTAAAAAACAAACACAATTTTCGACACTTTTTTAATTTTTTTTTCAAAATTTGGCCTACCTTTAGAAAATGTTCGTAAAAATTGAAAGTGGTGCTTTAGATGTACGTGGTTCCAAATTAATGCTGGATAAAAAGGATTTTTGTTATAATTTTTCTTGCGACGGTCCGGGACAAGGTGGTACTTGTGATATTTTAGCTTCGGACACCTTTTATTTGACAATTTTCTGAATGTTAAATACCATTAGATGAGTTACTTTTTATCGACATTGGTGTTTCTAAGTTTAATTTTTTAAAATGGAAACCAAAAACCAAATAGTTATGAAATGGAACCTTAAAAGTCTATTAGATATTTTTTAAAAAAAATTCAGTTACTCAACTTATAATTTAACATTAATTTATAGAATTTTATATAAACTAAAATAAATTTTATTTTTTGGAAAGAAAATTATTCATAAAAGAGCTGATCAATTTCGTCGATAACTTCTTTTTGTCATTCAAATCTTAACAGAATATCAAATTAGAAGTACCCAAAATCAAATTTTGAAAATTTTAAAGAACTTAGTTCCCAAATTCAAATGAAAAAAAAAAGTGCCATTAAAGTAACTTGGACTTCAATCTTCCCAAATTTGACTGAATAGATTCAACCATCTTCCAATCCAGTATTATATTCTAACAAATTCCAAATTTTCCCTCTGCCCCAAACTAACACATGATGCCCAATTACCAATTTAAATAAATATTTTTTTCGCTATTTAAATATAAATGAAAGATTTAAATCTTTAAAAATCCCTAAACTTTGAAATAAATAAAGTCAAGATATAGATTTAGTCTCAAATTTTTTAGAGTTGGATCTATTAGATTTTTCTGGCTCTAATATACTATATTATTTAAAGAATTATATGGTGAAGTAATTTCGAAAAAATTAAAACCAAAAAAATACTAAATTCGAGCTATCTTAAAGTAATTATTTTTATAAAAAATGAAAACATTGTTTGAGATCCATTCAAAAAAGTATAATGGAATAACTTGAAATTTAGAAACCAACAAAATAGGATTTTTGTGAACCAACATACTAAAATTTCACCATTTCTAATTTTTCCAACAATAATTCCTCTTCACATCCCTTTGATGTCTGTTTTTTGTCGGCAAGAAATATAAATCAAAGCATAAAATCTGAAACTATTTGGAAACTTTTAGCAAAAAGGGAAACTATTTGGAAAATCCAGATTAAATATTGTTGGATTTTACGAAATATTCCTTTCACTTTTTACAAAAAAAGAAAAAAAGAAAAAAGAATTCCTCTTTCGATCTTTTTGAACCCATGACCTTTGAATATAAAATTTAAACTTAGATATCTGAGCTCGATATAAATAAACTAACTTTTTATGAATCAAGTATCTAATAATATTTAAGTAAAAAAAAAATCTAATAATATTTGTGGAATTAGAATCAAAGTACTGAATCCAGAGACAAAAAATAGAATCAAAACTGTAAAACAATATTATTATTTTCTTTTTCTTCGACTACAAAATTCTAAATCGATCGATGTAGAAAAAAAAAAAAAACTACAAAATCAGAATTTATAATTTAAATTAGAAAACAATAATTCCCCAAACAAACAGAAACAAACCCAAAACAGATCCCAAATTTCTGCTTCTGATTCCGGCAGCCCCACCCTTATCCGGACCCGGCGCGGCGGTGGCGGTGCCATTTTCCCTTCCGACGACGGCCGGCGCGGGTGCAGGTGCGGGCGACGCGCCGCCGTGGGCGCGTGGGGCAGGACTGGCATCACGCTTCTTACTCTTGACGAACTCCAACACGCCTCTGGCGTTGAGATTGGCCGGTTTAAACTCGTGAACCGTCAGCCCGCCGGACGGGTCGACGGCCGGTCCGACCTGCCAGACCTGGTTCAGGGACGTGGCCTTGGCCGGAACTTTCAACTTGGCGTAGATCGTGAACCGCCCGCCGGTGGACTCAGCGGCGACGTCCCAGACGGGGAAGGAGAGCTCCGGCGAGGGGACGACGGAGGAGTAGGAGGAGATGTTGAAGGTGCGGACGGAGGGGGCGGCGCCGGAGCCGCCGACGAGGAGGGCCTGGGCGCCGGCCATGCCGGTGGCAGTGGGGTTGACGGCCCAAGCGACCCAGCCGCCGGGGCGCGGCGGCGGAGCGAGAAAGGCGAGGGAGAGGGAAGAATTTTTGGAATCGTAAGTCCAGTGAATGAAAGCATCGAGATGAGGGAGATCTTCGCAATGGGCGAAGGTTCTGTTTGCGAATTTCTGGGAAGAACAGGTGAGAGAATGGGCGGCCGGAAGGAGGAATCCGGCGAGAATTAAGTAGAAGAGGGAAGCCATAGGCATAGCCATTTCGGAGAAAGAAATTGAGAAATTAGAGAGAGAAATTGAAGAAATTGAAGAAAATGGGGAATTTGTTAGAGGTTATATAGTGGTGGGGGCAGTGGGGGAGGTGATTTATTTTCAACGCGTAGAGTGGGAGAGTGGAAAGTGGGAACTTGCTTACCCATAATTTTTTTTCTTTTTTCTTTTTTCTTTTTTGGATTTTGATTTGATTTACAATATGTTTGAGACTTTTAACTTGAGTTTAGGGAAGAGGAAGAGAAGATTATGATACAAGAAAGAGAAAATAGTTATGAAGTTTGAATTGTTTTTAATCCATGTATGAGTTTGATTTTTAATTGATTTTTCAGTTGAATTGATTCAGTGGAACATATGTTGACTAGAGAATGAGAAATCTCTCGAATGATCCATTACTACGACCATAAATTTGGTTAACTATGTCTAAGAACTTAGTCAATTTAAATGTAGAAGAAAGAAAGGAGAAGGGAAGGGAGTGAGAAAAGCGAGGATAGAAAGATGTCACTTAGTCAAAATTTGTCGTCTCGTTTAAAAAATACATATCACCAAAATCTAGCAACACATTTTAAGTACAACATCATTATTTTGTTAGGTTAACTAATGATCAAGTTAAGGACCAATTAGAAATCAAATTCATACCTTCAAGAATTAATTAAAAATTAAATTCAAACTTCAAAGACCAAACATGTTATTTTTGAATTTGAAAGACTAAATTGAAACTAAATTTGAAGGACAAAAAATAGTAGTTCTTAAATTGAGGGGCTGAAGTCCAAATCTCTTAAATCGAAGTGTATTTTACCCAATTTGAAAACTCTTTCAAATTTCAAATAGAAATGTAAGTAAAAGTTTGAACTAAGAGAAATTATTTCCCTCCCTACAAAGTGTGACTTTGACTTTTCCTTTTGAACCTAATGAGTTAATGGTCAAATTAGAAAAGGGCAAAGAACAATAAATAAAGACTATCTCCCCCAAGTGCGGAAGATAAAAATGCAAATATAAAAGAGAGGGAATTATTTTTAATAATTAAAAAAAAAGCAACCATTCAAATCTGGGAAGAACTAGAAAAATGTTACCACTCATTTGGAAAAGAAAGAAATGGAAATAATATAATGGGTCATGTTTCATCCTTGTGTGTAAATAAACCATATTAATTTCATCCATCTTTTTCTTAATGTTCAAAATATTCATGTTTTGTGCCTCTCTTCAATTACACTGGTTGATGCAGCATTCGATCTAATGAACACTTGTGCACACAATAGATGTGTCAGACAAATAGTTCAGTTGAGAGTAGCAAAAAGTAGGATTGTAAAGCTCGTTAGGCCTCTCTTCTTATTTATAGAGAGAGTTTCCTCAAGTTGATTCGGGTAGATTGGCTCAATCGGGTCTGGTCAAGTCAGGCCGCTCAACCTATGTTGCTCCCTTGGTCTCACTTTAGATGAACCTAGTACAGTAATTTCATCCATAGTAGTTGCCACTATTCGGGTGTTAAGTGCTAAAATTAAACCAGCCAACTCAACCCTAGAGAGTAATCGCTCCGTTAGTGTTCATGAATGTTAAATTTAAAAATATCCAAACTCAACAAGTCAAGTTGATTGGGTCGAAATTAGGCTAATTCCTAAAAAAAAAATTTAAGTTGATTGTATCAAGGCTATGTTGAGCATGCGGGTAAAACAACTTAAGCAAAAGTATGAGTAATTTCTGTATTTTGATTAAAGGATACATGGGCTATTTGTAATGAGCGACCTAATACAAATTGAAACTAAATAACAACCTAAACAAATTGATTAACAACTTGTAGAGATACAATGTCAAACTAAATAACAACAAATTCATTAATTTAAGCAACTAATTAATAACTAAATAACTAATCCTATTATACCCTCAGACTTATGCACAAATATGACATAAGGTTGCCACGAAAGGAAAGAAAGGCAGAGGTAGCCAAAGTCTTGGTAAACAAGTCTGCAAGTTGATCTTTGGAAGATACAAAACGAACGCACAAATCCTTCCAAACCACCTTCTCACGAACAAAGTGATAATCAACCTCTATATGCTTGGTGCGAGCATGAAAAACTAGATTACTAGCGAGAGAAATAAATAAGACATAGTAGTCGCCAAAGATCTATATTATACCTTAGTAGAAGATCGATAAACAGTTTGTTGCTTTTTAGCAAACCAAAAAATAGGACTACTACTAAGAAGGGTGACAAAACTGGTCGTCGAGCGACGATCATGAGCATCACCAGCCCAATCAACATAACAGTAGGCTGTAAGAGACAAATATCATGGACGAAACAAGACACCAAGATCCCTTGTGCTACACAAACAACAGAGAATCTTTTTAACAGTAGTACAATGGACTGTAGAATGATTTTGCATAAATTGACTTACTTTATTAACTACAAAAGCAATATCCGATCTAGTAAAAGTAAGATATTGTTATGATCCCACAAGTTGTTGATATAAAGAGACATTAGAGAAAGGAGGAGCTGGAGTAAGGAAATCCACGGTAGCAGACATAGGAGTGACACAAGCTTTAGCATTAAGCATTTCAGACTTGGTATCGATAAGATACTTAGTTTGGTTCACAAATTGTCCAGAAGAACGCTTATGAATTTCCATACCAAGAAAGTATTTAAGTTCAACAAGATCCGAAATTTGAAATTCAACAGCTAAATCATTCTTCAAGGTGTTCACATAAGCATTATCAGGGCCTGTAATAATGATGTCGCCCACATAAAGGAAAAGATAGGTAAAGGAAGAGCCAGAAGACTGAACAAACGAAGAAGAATTTGCATTTGAGGCGATGATAACTCTCCATAAAAGAGTTATTTTAGAGGAAAAATGTCTTGAGTAGAGAAGAAATTTCACAAAGAAGCTCCAATTACTATTGTTTTAGGCTTAGTATGTAAAAGTTCAAAATAATATTGCATCTATAGTAATGTTGTGACTTGTTGCAAGTTAGTCCTAACTTTGAATGTTTTTGTGGCAGCATTATTGATGTTGGAGCATTGGAGCTAAAAACAGAAAAGACAGAGAGCTGAAAGCGACATATTGTTACCCAATAGTTACAGTAGTAAAAATGGAGCACGCACCAAAAATTTGAGCTGGGCTCCACTTTATCCATTCTTTTGCCCTAAAATTAAGGATGGGTATAAAAGCTAGCATTAAACGTTGCCTCCAGGATTCCATTCGTTTCCATTCTCATTCAATCTTTTCACCCCACACAAATCCTCTAAAGCACGAAAAAACACACACAGAGAAGGACCTTAAGAACTAGAGGAAGCACCAAAGAAGGAGAAGTAGAGTAGGAGTTTATTGTTTTCTTTTCTTCTTTCTTCTTTTGTATTACTAAGTAAATGAGCTTGATAGTTCTTCTTTTCTTTTTTCTTTGTTATGGCTTTGAGCAGTAAACTTTGCTTTAAACCTTAATTTCTGGTTTATAAAGATGTTACTGCTGAGTTAAAAGTTTGTTTACATCTTATTAAGTTTAATGTGTTTGATCACCATATTGGATGAGCTCTTTATTAACTTTTGGGAGATTGTAAAAGAGAGTGAATGGCTTTAACTTGTGCTAGATCTACATTTGAGTCTATAGTGTGGTACTTAGGAATAAGACTCACCTTACATGGATAAAAATTACTGAGCTAAATTGGTGTGTTTTAAGTAAAATTAAAATAGCGTTGAATCTAGGCAATCTTGAAAGATCATGTGTTATTTTGGTCAGTAATGCTAACATCCTTGTTGCTGAACCATTGTCTGCTAGCGTCAAAATAAAATATACAAATTCCCTTCCTTTTGTCCTTATCATTTAACCTTAGATTCTCTTTTGTGTCTCGTGATCTTGAGCTGACATCAAGTTTTTCATAATACCTCTATTTTAAGATTTATGCATGTTTACCTACATAGGAGCAATTGGTTAAATATCAAACTATCTTTTATTTGCTTTTTTACTTCTTGAGTAATTAGTGAAGTGTTCAGTAATCAACCCCTATAAGTTCGATTTTTTTTTATCACTTGCTACGCGATTTATGTATGCTTGCACGAGGGTTTAAAATCGTTAACAGACAACGAAACCCAAGGTTAACAAATATGATGTAAACCGATCAAGCCATGCCCGAGGAGCCCAATTAAGGTCATACAAACTTTTGTGTAGTTTACAAACATGAGAAGAACAAGACTAATAAATAAAACTGGGTTGTTGATGAAGGGATTGAGTCCCCAAAAAGGATCGGTTGTGTGGGAACCTCTTGGAAAGGGAGAGAATTTTCTTGTAGAGATTTGAGAGAGAGGGGAATCGATCTATTTTCTTCAACTGCACAGCACCTGCATTTATATAGGAGGGGGAAACATAACCCCCCACCTCAGCATTCTTCCACTGCCCTGCATTTGGTTTAATTAAATTAAATTAAATAATTAATTATTTAAATACTTTATAATTAATTAATTTTAATTAAATATCATCTATTTGAATCAAATTCAAATGCACATATCTCGATAACCTGTAGTTTTAATGTGAATCTCGTTCAAATTAATTTTAACCTATCGTTTTCATATAAATCGCGAATTCATACTAATTATTATTTGAATCTTATTCAAATATTTCTCTCTTATAATATAGTTTAATTTTGAATATTTATTCACAAATATAATGTATCTATATATACATTATATTAGTGGTATATACATACAATGTATACATTCTATCATATAATTTGAACATTTCAAATTCTTTCAAAACTCTTAGATCCTCGTTTTATCTGTTGTAAGTTAGCAAGGGGACCTGAAGGTTATAAGCTCTAATCTGAAATTAATTAATTAAACTCATTAATTAAATTAATCAACATTCATTAACTATGGGGCACTTCATTACTAAAGTAGCTTAACTCTTATGCACGGTAGAACATGTTGCGTCTATGGATATAACCATTTCAAGTAAGTCAATCCTTCACGAGTCATCCGTAATTACAGTTGGGTCAAATTACCATTTTACCCATTTAATTACTTATCATTCCTCAAGTACCAC